GGTAATCTGACATTTTAAAAGGGATTTTTCATTCCAGCCAGAGGAAACATTTTTGTTTATCCAGAGGAGATAACATTCTTGCACTGTAATGAAAGCCAGTGCTCACCAGATGACAGGTCTGGTCTTTGCCCTGTGGTTGCATCTTTGCAGGCAGAGCCTTGTTTCTCTGTGGGAACACTCTTTTCCCTAATAAGATTTGTTAATGGATGGAAGAGTCTGCAAGATCTGATTGATTGTGACATTGGGAGTTCTAACATGAGCATCGCAGTTCTGGATGTATGATCTCTCAGTTAGTTGGTTTGTTCACTCTTATGAAGACCAAAAATACTTATATGTATTTAAGAAATATTTAAGGCTACCTGGTGAGTGAGAAAACAATGTCTTGTTCCCTGGCTTAGTGTGTGTTGCCTATGGAATGAACAGATTATAATAGGACTGTGTGCAGCAGTGGGGTGGATTTCTTGCTTACCAGTGTTTACTCAAATGTTGTTCAAAGACTTGCTGGCTTGGAGTAATGGTGGTGGTCTGACGTGACTTTTGTGTTTTTAAGGGACTCAAGATTGGTAAATCAAAGTGCTTCTTTCTTAGCCCCAAGCTTATTTAAACAATTTAGAACCTACTAATATAAACAGAGATTGAAATAGAAAGTATAGTAACTCTGTGTTCTGTATAATCTATTGTATGATTATAGTAAGTTTCTAATTTGCTTTAGTGCTAATTTTGAGTAGGACTGTGGAGCATGAAGGAATCTCTACTTATTTCATGGAGGAGTCCATCTTACACAGGACCTTCACACAGTAAGAATCAGCATTATACTTTTAAAAATGTTAGTAGCATCTGAGGGTTTAAAAAGAGAATTATCTCCCATCCAAAGTCTGTCTACTAGCAAAAATAAGGTTAAAGAGAAATGCTTGAGAAAGCATCTCATATCCTACCCAACTTTATAGTTTTAAATATTGATCACGTATTTGTGACTGGTGTCAATTATAATTTTCTTTCCTGAACCACAGTGCTTCACTTAGAATGATTTTCTTTGTTGTAGTATGTCGTTTAGCTCAGTTAAATATCAGTGCAAATTTTAGTGGCTTCGTTGCTCTTGAAAGGTAATCATAGTACTTTGCTGTGCATCCTCAATTTAAAAGAAGGGATTGATGGCAGTGTGGCTTACTTAGTGCACCTCTTGGTAAAGAGACTGCCAATATGCCAGGTAAATAACTCCACAGTTCCCCTTCCTTAAAAAGTATGCTGTCTAGATATGATAGAGCGTTGGAGAAAGTGATGGAGGCCTCAGGAGTGCTTTGTAGACTTTTGTATTTGTAGGTAAATATTTAAACTAAGCATGGAGTGAAGGGTGAGTTCAGGTCTGGGACTGTGACAGCTTCTCCCAGGTCTTACCCAGTTGGAGTACTTCATGTAAGTAATCTTTCATTACTTCTGGGTGAGCATTCGTGAGGAAAAGCCAGGAAAAGTCCTTGAGGCTCTAAATATAACGACTGGGATGGGATATTTGCTGTCGATGTCTCTCATTTTTGATGTCTCTCATTTTTGTGCTCTGTCATTTCTGCCTTTGTTTTGTGCTTCTCGGTAATGGCTGTCATAGTTCGTGTTTACCAAACAATCATTTTACTTTCCTGGGTGGTAGTGGAGAAGGATTGGGGCTTGGCAAAAGTTGAAATGTGATTCAGAAGTATAGATAATAAGTAGAAGTTCCTACTGTTTATTTACTTTTATTATCCTCAAAAATATCTTACATAGCACAGTATTTATTTCTTGTCCAACACTGTAAGTTTCTGCAGAAGAAAAATACAGTGAACGTTGTGGATGATGTGCAATACCATCTGCTTTTCCTATTATTATTATTATTATTATTATTATTATCATTATTATTACTATTATTACTAACTGTTAAAGGTGAAAATTGAGAAATAAAGTGGTTCCTTTATTTATCTTCACCCTTTTACCCTTGCTGGAAGAGTATAATTTTACTGCATGAGGCTACAATTTATTGTGCTCAATCATTCAGTGTTGTTGTAGTCTTGTCATTCTTGTCTATGCTGTTCTTCATAGATAGTGATTTACCAGTCAGTTGTTCAGCCATGGTAAATTAGACCTAGAGATAAAATTAGACAAAGTCCATAGCTGATTTTTATTTTTAACTTTGGAAGGGGAAGGAAAATAGCCAGCATGCATTAGTAATAACCTCAAAATTCTCATGAAAATTGAAATTCTCATGTAAACAAGAAGTGCATCTTCACCTCAGCACTTGTTTCAAAATTAGATGATGGTTTAAAAATATTTTTTAATTCTTTTTTCCTAATTGCCTGCTCTGAAAATTGTTTAGTGCATTGGAAGAGGTGCATTTTGGACAAGAAAGAAGTTAGAATGCTTGGCTTCACTGTGTAATCTAATGTTGGGGGTCAGGGCATTAGTTTTGTCAGGACTGAATTACCTTTTCCTTCAATATCCATACGTGGAACAATGCTTACTGCTTTACTTACATCTTAGCCACTGTATGTGACATTTCCATAAAGTAGGCAATTTTTATTTTGAGAGAACTGGTGTTGTTTATGTATAAAATAAATACAGTAGAACTTTAAAAATACATAAGAGTTGGCAGAAATATTTGAAAGTAAAGCCTTATTGCTCTACATGAAATTCAGATGCTAAAATCCCACATTTTTGTCCAGAAGCAATTATTGTAAAAGATCTCATTCTGAGTTCACATGTAATCTTTTTAATGATGAAGGATTGATACAGCCTGCAAGGTGCAGCAGGTATTGAGCCTTGCTGCCTCTGCTGTGGTTGTTTGTTTTGAAGGGGAGATCTCCTCTTATCCTTACATAAACATCTAAAAAGAATATATATGGCACCTTTAACAACATTCCATAAGATACCTGTCTAGCCCCTTCATGTAGGGCTAAAGGTAGGGGGTTTATGCTGTGCAGCAGATGCTTCTTCAGATTATCAGGGTCCTGGCGTGCCCATGGCTTAGGAGGATGACTGTAGCCACTCTCCTGTCAGGACTTCAACAGGGCAGAGAGGCTGATGAGTTGATCACATCATATGCTTTGAAAGGCTGAGAGAGGCCTGTCTTGTTTTAAAAGAGAAAAGGGTAGGTTTGGCTTCAGCAGATCAAAGTGAAAAACGTGGCTGTGAAGCAAGGGAAAGCTTGAGTGCTCAGGTAGGTGACTGTCCCTGCTCCTCCCAAGGAAATCTGCTAAGAGGTGATTATGTTCTGCACCAACTGTTTCTGAGTGTTCACCAAGGCTTTAACCCTTGGGAAGACTGAATTATGTGCTGGATAAAGATCACAAATCCATAACTAATTCTCATCAGAATCCACATAATTGGTAAATGGGGAAGTCAGAAATATCATGGATTATGAAGGGATTTCCAGGCAAATTGTTTTCCCTGCTGCTTTGCCTCAAGTTTCTCCCAGCACTCTGATGCAATCTACTCAAAGTTTTCTGAATCTAGACATAATTTGGCTTGAAATTACCTAACCTCCCTCAAAATATTTTTTTACTGTAATTCTAAATCTTGGAATGTTGCCATAGAAATCTTGAGATCTGTATCATATGGAGAGACCGTGGGATGGGATAGTCTGGGCTTTTTTATGGTAACATGATTCTTCCAGAATTTTATATTCACTCCTGATCACATATTTTTCAATAATAAAAACCTTCCTTCAATGTGGCTTTCAGAAAGTGGTATTTTACAAATTGTATTTTATTTTTGTGGAAAGAAATTTTTTCATTACCTTGTTTTGCCCAGCAAATGTTTTTATATTTTCTCATAAACATATATGCATGGCTGCACCACAGGATGCATCAGATATACAAACTGATTTCTAATACATAAATAAATATAATTCCATCATAAATATGCCTGAGGAGCAAAAATGAGCTGAAAGGAACCATTATTAGAAAGAGAGAACAATGAAGGTGACTTTGCTATTTTGACTACTACACCTGGGATAATCCCTTTCAGTGTTGTGCAAGATCCCAGTGTAATTCCAAGCAAATAGGCCTTGAACATCCACATATTGAAATCACTAAATAGGTTTCTATATTTAAGTTGGAACAATATTGCTTCTAATTAAAAACTCTCTTAGTAGAGCACTCAGTGCACAAACAGTAAGGTTAATGTAACCTGAGCTGAGCTGGCAGTTGAAGGAAAGCAAAATCCTCTTTGTTCCAGCTTTTTAACTATTTACCGTGGGCGTATGGTAAGCATTTGGTGCCTTTCTGCTTCATGTTTTTGAAATGCAAGCTGGAACTCTTTAGATGCTACATATCAGTTAAGTCTCACTTGGCTGCAGAGGTATATTCCAATTTTTTGATTAATCGTAGCACTGACACTCTCTGGGTATAAGCCAGCTGAGTCCATAAAGACTGCAAAATGTGTGGGGTTTATATTTTTGGTGATCTGGGGGGTATTTTTGCTCCGGACTGCCAGCAGGTTGGCAGTACAGCAGCCACGTGGCGATGCAGCCCAGGTTCCTGCAGTGTGCTGAGCTCCTGTTAATAAACCTGACAGAGAGCAAAGGTGGTTTCCTGCAGCTGTATCCCCATGCTCCAGGAGGATGTGGTGCTTGGGGCAGGGAGCTGCTGGCCAGCCAGCCAGGCTGCAGCAGCATCCTTGGCTCATGGCCCCTTCCCTGAGCACAGGGTGCCTGGCAGGGGCAGCCAGGAGTGTGTGACCTGCTCTGCAGTATCGGGGCTGGCTGTGCTGGTGGCCCTGGCTTGGTGCCAGTCGTGCCAGGAGCAGGTCACCTGGGCGTTGTCACTGTGTGATCCTGCTGTGTGAGTTCTCTCCTTACCAGGTGCAATGGAAAACAGGCTGTGCTGCTTCGTTCCTTTGACGTCACTCTACACGAGCAGGGATGCTTCACTGTGCTGAGATGGATTGTACCATATGCTCAATAATCATATTAGCTAAGTTAATTTAGTTGGTGCAACAATGCATTTTCCAACACTTGGTTTCTTCTTAACTTTCAGGTTTTCCGAAAAAAGGCAGTGGAGCTTGGAGAGAAATTGCTGCCTGCTTTCAACACTCCTACTGGGATACCTTGGGCATTGCTTAATATCAAGAGGTAAAACTACTGCTTTTTGGTGACTAGAACACATAAAAAATTGTGTTGAATCCATCTTTGCTACAAAACTATTGCAATTGCGGCAGAGTTTTCATCGTCCTTCTGTCCTTCTTCTTCTACAGTTTAAATTGGGAAATTTAAGTGGATATATGTTGCACACAGAATACATACAGAAATATATTTATTAATTTCAGAACTGTGTGTTTTTGTCAGTTAGTACTTTGCTTATCACTCTTCAAGTCCTTTTAGTGTTGTTTTAGGTAGGCTAAGAGCATTAGGACGTGCGCTCCTCTGAGAGTTTTCTAGCCACTTTGTGCTCTTATTTTAAAACCTGTTCTCAAATGTGGTATAAGCATGTCCTTCATATCAAGAAACAAGAGGAATCCCTGCTACAAGAGACTCACTGTTTTGTACCCTCTGCCAAGGAGTGGTTTTGCTTTGGGTAGTCATGGTTTGAAGGCAGCTCTGTGTTTGCTGTAGGAGGTGCTGGCTTTCCTGAAGTCATTCTTGCCTCCAGTATCTGGCTCCAGACACGTCAGCCGTTCCTTGGTCCAACTCAGCACTGCTACCTGTGCTGGTAAAGAAAATGGTTTCCTTGCACTGCTTGGCAAAGAATATTGAAAATTACACTTGTGGGGTTGTATTTGTAGGGACACCCCAGCTTTTTTTATACTGGTAATAAACTCCAGCATCACTCATCACAAGAAAGAGAATAAAAAAGAATTTCACATGTGTGTGCATTGGTGATGTGTTTTTTTGAGTGGCTGTCTCCTTGACAGTCAGCATCTTCTGCTGTTCCCTGCTTGCTCTTTGTTTTTGAGTGCCCTTTTCCCCACAGTGGGATGGACATCGACATCTTGCTTGATTGGCTGTGTTTGCTTCTGGCTTCCCAGTAAACTGCTCAGGGCCAGTCCTACAGAAACCCCTGGCATGTCAGTTCAGACAGGCTTATCTTCCACCTCCTTTTCAAACAGCAGGGAGGTAGAAAGCCAAAAAAAGCACATCTGTGTGTGGGAGCAGGAGAGAGTTAGTGACTCCTGAACTTTCTCATCATTGAAGGGTTAACTGGTTAACTGCTGCCTGGTGATGATCCTTGGACTTTGCCTGGTTACTTACATGCATGCTAATAATTTTTTCACTACAGGCTTTAATAAGTTTGCACAAGTTCAGTAGTACAGCAGCTTGAGGCATGTTGGTTATGTGATTTTAAGCTGTTAGAGAAACTTCTGAATGCAAAACCCTAGCATATGTTTGTAATTGCAACACAACAATACTTTGCTCTACATAGTATATATTTAAGCATGCTCAAAGTATTCAGGATAAAAATATCTTTTATATAGCCCTTATCTAAATTCGTCCTTAAGTGTTAATATATCAATGTTCTTTTTGTATATAGTTCAAATTATGTGGTAGATTTTTATGGTTTGTTCCTACCTTCTCACAACAACTGCTGTGGGGCACTACAAATGCCATTTGCAGACAGTGCAAGGTGTTAATGCAAAAAGGATTAGTTTCTTGCCTAGTACAAAAGTGAAACAGAACTTCTGCCCAGGTAAATTCCTTTTCTGGAGCAGAAAAATTGACATGAAATGCTGTGTTCTTGGTTATTCATTCTGAATCCTTGCACATCTGCCTAGCTTTGACCTTCAGTAGATGACTCTTCCATAATACTGTGAGTAAACAAATAAGCTGTCATCCAGGCTTAGAAAATGCTAAGCCACTGAAGTCTGCATACATTGTGGATCTAATATGCCTCATTTCTGATTAGTATTTTATTTTATTTTATTTTGATTTATGCTTCAAATTGGAAAACACTCACAATAGATTATGAGTATCAGTGGTTATTTTTAAATTATTCTTTCTGGATTAAGAGATGAGCTGGATATTTGTTTAACTTTGCAAATGTTCTTCAGAAAATAGTTGGTTTTCTCTACTCATCCTGTATCATCATGGCCTGACCTGCTCTCTCTTTGCATGCCTCTGTGTGTAAACATATAAAAGTGCTTTTTGTCTCCTTACATACCAAAGACATCCACCTTGCATCCCACCATCCTTTTTATCTTTTCCATTGCTTCAGTTCATCCTGCCTTTTTCCTCACCACTTAGTGATCATGGGACACTTACTGTCTTGCTTATGAAACTCTTATTATCAAATATGATTAAAAGTTCATTGTATGATTCTTCAGCTAAAATACTTGCCAATTTATGAGTATGTTTGCTTGTAAAACTTCCTTTGATCTCTAAAGTACAATTTAAGTAATTAGATCAGTGGTTTGTAGGGGGATTTCCTTTTCTTTCTTTCTAAAGTTTCAGTTGCACTTCCATATTTCTGATGCTTTCAGTTCATCTTCAGCATCTGTTTTTCACTTCTGCTTGTGCTGCAAAATTTGAAGTTCCTTCTATGGCTCACTTGCTTATTTAAGTAAACAGTGTGGTATAGCACTTGTGGGTTCTTCTGGCTTAAACAGGGAGGGAGGATATGTAGAGGGAGAAGGATATAAAGCAGTGGTGAGCTGACAGACAGGTTTGAGTCTTATTTTATCCTTTGTTTAGATATTTCCTCTTCAGTGCTTCTAAAATGCCAACTACAACAGTTTCTTAAAATACCTCTAGTTCACGATCCCTTTTTTTTTCTTCCTAGTAAGCTGTGACAATCTGGCTTCTCCATGTTAAAAATTGTCATTTCTCTTTCTCTTTATAAACTTTAAGTACTTTATGACTGATCAATCATATTGCTTGTGTATTTCTGTATTTACCTCTCAGATTTATAGAAATAAAAAAATCTGAAATTATAACTCAGTGAGTTAAGTAATCTTAACAAATACCCAGACTTGCATCAAGTTTGCAGGATTAGGTAATCTTTTTAACATATCTATTTATTTTTACTCCTGTAACTATTAAAGGAGTAGCTGTTTGGGACTTGTGTTTATGGGATGATGCCCAGCTGTCAAATACAGAAAAGAACCCAGATTGTTGTTATTCTGTTGAATCAGTCAGGAATAAACATCTGAGTATAAAAGTCTGTGGTTTTTTTTTTTTTTTCTCCCAGATGGAAATTTTGTCTTTATGTCATTTGCCCCTCCTTTGAAAGCAACCTATATCTGGTTTTTAGTCCAATTTCCAATTGGACAAAAGTCTATTTCCAATAAGACCACATTACTACTTTCCAGTAATCAACCCAGAAGAATTGCTATATGAAACAATATATTTTCCGTTAAATGTTTGCTCTCTTTACATTGACCAATTGTGTAGTTTTAAGGTTATTTATTGTGCCTTATGTGCTGTGATGTAGCAATACTGTTAGGCATTAAGGCATAAAAAGGCCTTCCTTTTTATGAAGAATCAATGTAGCATATAACCTTTAAGTGCATCTGAAACTTTGAAAAATAGTTATGCCTTGCCTTAATGAAAAAGTTTCAACTGGAATAAATAATATTTTTATTTCTAGAAGCATAACAAACTGGAAATGTTGTTGTTTTTTTTTTTTTATGTCCAGCCTGTTCACAAGTGTTGTTGTGGCTGAGGGGGATACTGTGCCTGTTTCTCTGGCTCACTGACAAACCTAAATTATATAATTATTTCTGGCTCTAGGGACCATGGGAAGTGTTGTATAGAAGGAAAAGCTGTGAAGTGTAGTTGGAGTGGGTCAGAGTGGGAAAGCCTAACAGAAGCAAAAAAAGAGGAGTTTGAAATGCATGTGATTAATTTGTATTGAAATGAAACCACAGGGAGTGATAAGATTTACTCTACATAATTGTAGAATGTTTACTGTGTCTGGTGTCAGTTCAGGATTCTTTGCCTTTACAATTTAATATTGATTGTACATAGTGGATCTGAGTTGTATTCAATATAACATTTTATAAAGTGAAGTAGTGAGGGCCTTGCTAAATTGTTTGCACAAAGTAGATACTCAGAAGTAACTGAGGATGGAATTGACAGAGCTGCAATATTTATGTCACTGGGATGTTGTCAGCATGATTTTAAAGCAAGGTCTTCTTTTCACTTTCAAAATTACTATTATTTTTTAAATTGCTACATTTTGTACAGCAGTGAAGTTATGCCACAGGTCTTTTCAGGCCTCAAAGTGTTTAGTTTAAACAAGAGTTTTTTGGTACTTCTGAGCCCTTGCAGCCACTGTGTTTTCAGAGCCAGAAGATACACCCATAGCACAGCTTCAAACTAGTTTGAAACTAGTTTGATAGTCTTTTATCTCACATCATTTGGAAAAAAAAATAGCAAGAAAAAATTCACTCATACTTTTGTTTTTTATTTTGAACAACTTTTTACCACCAGCTAAGATTTCTGTTCTGCTAAATAAGATAGTTCTCCCCACTGTCTCAGCTTGCCTAGCAGAACCTGCTGCTTTGGAGAGGGCTTGTATGCTAAAATGCTACAGTGCTTGGAAGGATGGCACACACACACACACACACACACACACACACAGTGGTGTTGTGTTATGGGACACTCTGGTGTTTCAGACTGCTGGTGGCAGTGGTTTAGGTTGTAGGCATTTAAAGGAGCTTCTCTCTCAGCCCTTTCCACAGAGGTAGAAATGTGGCCAATAAACCAACCACCTTGGAGGTATGAAATGCTAGTCTTGAGACAGCGGAATTTGCTTGAAAATATTTCAAAGTAATTCCCAATTTCAAAACATCTTTGAGGTCTCATGGTCTTCAAAACGTCTTGTGTGTGTGGTGCCTCATTAGAAGAACTCCAATATTCTTAAGGAAAGAATTCAGCATATAACAGAATGGTTCTTTTTGAGTTCTGTGACATCTCAAAAACATCATAATCAATGCATTTAAGAGTGCATGCCTTTAGAGTTTGTAAGGAGTTTTAATGCATTGAGAAAATCTAAGAATATAAAAAGTGATCCAGATATGTATATTCCATAAACCTTTTTGACAGCTTGATTCTCCCACTTACACTTTCAGAAATGCCTGAAATAAGATTGATTGTTGCATTATTTTACAAAATTTTTGTATGATACTATATTCTTT